ACAAATCTCTCCTTGTAAATCAACCACGTGTGATTGACGTATGTTATCAGCTTGGGATATTCCCCGTACAAACTCACCATCTCGCTATAATTGAACCCATATTCTTCCTCAGTCTCTGAATTCACTAACTTTTCCCAGACTGTCCTCCGGAACAATACACCGTGATTTTTATTGCCCAAGAACTTCGTCGCATTTGCCTCAACATTTCTGTTTATGTGATATAAACATAACATGTGATTCGACTGTGGAAACACGTTAGGCAATGCTTTCAATAGGCCCAGCTCACGATCTGTCAGTATCACTTCCGGTTCTGCTTCTGACGGTAATATATCTCGCAAACATCTCAAAGTCCATGCATAAGTGTCCTCATCTTCACGTGACATAAAAGCAACAGCGATGGTAAAGTTCCTTCCTACCGGAGTAATCCCAATAATTTCCAAAAAAGGCATTTCATATCTACAAGAAGGTAATTATAATTTTATCAACTCGTAAATATAATATAATAAATTAAAATTTCACATTTAAATAAATATTACCTCTTGGTCTTGTAAGTGCAATCCATCAGTATAACGTATGGAAATAATTGCAAAAGGTTGATTGAATGGGGGTGCGCAAACATAACGTCTTGCACTGTATCGCCAGCTGAGTTTGTTCGATGCCATTTGCTGTATCCACTTTCACTAAGTTTGTGCCACAGATGTTGCACAACTATTTTTCCTTTCATTTTCTCTCGTCTAGTTTTAGCAGATTCATTGTACACATCCCTCAAAGCCGCAGACGTATTCGGATTAGTCTGTCTCAAGTGATGCAAAATTTCCTTCGGCTTCACATGACTGTTTTTTAGTAGCTTTGTAACTTCTCGTTGCTCTTGAGTCAAACGACTTAACGAACGTATTCCTTGTGAATATTTATGAGGATTATGATTATGATTGCCATTTTTTATGGTAAGACGCCATAATCCATCTCGACCCTCTTTACCCCATAGCGCAAAAGGACACATGCACTTTATTGAACCAGACTTTCGGCTTGTTACGACTCCGACATTTTTTCCTCGTCCTTTATAGGCCCTTTTACACGTCATATATTGTCTGCCTTCGTGGAAAGACTGGCGTCTAATCTCATGACCATGACTGACGGCCATGTTCATCGCCCACTCAACCAGTGCATCTTTATTCTCGAATGCAGTAGAAATTATGAAAAATTGACTAAAATCATGTAACTCGGATGTTTCCGTATCTTCATCAACATTTATGTATACTTCCTGTTTTCAAATAAATAAAGTAAGCAAAATATATATTATTTAAAAAAAAGTAAAATAAAAAAAAAATTAAAAAAAAAATTGTGCTTGCGTGATTTTACACGAGCACTGAGAAGGTTCTCGCGTAAAATAACACGAACAAAATTTATATATATATATATATATATATATATATATATATATATATTCATCTTCTCGTGTGATTTTGCACGAGCACATGCCACGTGCTCATGTAAAATCACACGAACACAAGAAAAAAAAAAACAAACTTCAAGTACTCGTGTTATATTACGCGAGCACATGAGCACATGTCATGTGCTCGCGTAATATCACACGAGTACTTGAAGATTCGAGAAAAAACGAAAATATTACCTCCGGGTCTATATTTGTTGGATCCATTTCAGAAATTGCTGAATATCTAATTTTTTTGCAATGAATGTTGAAATTCGATTTTTAAAGGGTTATAGGATTTGGAAATAAAAATGTAAAATGGTAAAAACTCAAAGTAAAAAGGTAAAAACTTATAGTAAAAAAGTGCATGTTCGCCAAAATAGCGCCTGCGTATATAACCACCCCAAGAAAAATCAAAATATCATAAAAAGTCAAAGATGTAAAACATAAAAGAATCCGAATAGAATGTGGTACACAAAAGCGACAAGAAAAATATCATTTTTTGTATGCAATTCACGCAAGGAGATCCACGAAGCATCAAAAAAAATTATGAACTTAAACCGCACCAAATTCGCTAATAGAAGACCGATTCATGATTTTTCTTAAAAGAGTACCATAAAAATTAAAAAAACTTTATTCGTCAAATATAGAAAAAAAATCAAAATAGAATGATACACGAAAACGAAAAAAAATATTTTTTTTTATCCAATTCACGCAAGGAGATCCCTAAAGCATTAAAAATATTTGCGAACTTAAATCGCACCAAATTTGCTAATAAAAGATCGATTATCCAAAAAACAAATCCAACGAATTAAAACTTATTTTTTTCTGAAACAAATAAGAAATGTTAACATAAAAAAATACAGATCTATGCACATTGTTCATATAGATTTAGTCTTAGAAACAAAATATTAGGAAAAAAAGAGTGGAATTTTTACCATATATGCGTGCTCTTCTGGTGTATTTATTTTCTATGTTTGAGCTTTCTCATCTCTCCATTTCTTCAAGTTTTACTTTTAATTCAAGTTGTGTTTTCTTTTCACTTTCTTTCGTTTGTTCAGACAAATGTAACAAAAAAAAAATTATGCATCTTGCTCTTGTGTGTGATGAGTTGTGAATTGTCAGAGGCACAATTGCATTCAATATATAGATAAGTGAGAGATCTTTGAAATGAGTCCACAATTGTAAAATTAGGGTTGTGAAAAGTAGAGGCAAAATCGGCAAAAAAAATTAATTTTTATTTCTAAAACCTAAGAGATACGTGTATGAAGCAAAGTTGACAAAATTAAGTCAAAAAAATTTGCAGAAATTTAGTGAAAATTATATGAGGCAATATTACATGTATATGATTTTTTACACTTCCAATAATTTATTTATACTAAATAAATGGAACTAATCTCGATTCGGATGCTATCAATTACTCGTCCGCTCAAACGCCAATATAGAAATAATTCAAAAATTTATTAGGTCGGGATAGACACAACTTAATTACGACAACTATTTAATCCGTTATAAAAGTGAATTGTTGAATTGTTATAGTAATAAGATATTCAAATATTGTAAACTTGTAAGGTCAAAATAAATGCTTAATTGGGCCTACGATTTATTTATCTATTGGGTCACGAGCCAAATTTAGAAGAACGTTACAACGGAAGCCCAAAGACTTTCAAATAAGTTTTGTGCCCAACAAAATAACTCCGACTCCGTACAAATTAAGGTTTTAACTCATTTGTTAAGGTATGTTCTATTCAAGCAATATATATGTATACATTATTATTATTATTAGGTTAAATTACAACCACCCCCTTGAGGTATGGTCAAATTACAAAAAAACCCTGATATTTGGACAATTATATCTACACCCCTCAACTATGAATCTTCTTACACCCCACTTTTATGGTGTCAAATTCCGCATAATTATCTAGATTGCTTGGAATGTGCTCTAGTCTGTACTCGTTTTGTGCAAAAATATAGTTTCTAATGCACTACAATTTGATAAATACAAACCAAAAAACGCATGTTATGATCATCTTGCTTCAAAATGTAGAGCTCGAATGGGATAAAACGGGTACAAACTTGAGAATATTCCATATAATATAGAAGATTCCACTAAATTTGAAACCGCAAGGGTGGACATGTAAGATGACTTATAGTTGATGGGGTGGTTGTAATTACCCAAACATGAAGGGGGTTTTCGTAATTTGATCATACCTCAGGGGTAGTTGTAATTTACCATTATATATTATTATTATTATTATTATTATTATTATTATTATTATTATTATTATTATTAT